TGCGAAGTAACAGTTTAAAGCTGAGGCATGAGCTAAATAGATACAAGATTATGTCCCGTGACAGGCCACAGCGGTTTATTGATTCCAAAGGACAAGCCGATGTTGTGGAGTGGCTGCTGGTCTCTGTAGCTAGTGGCAGCACCTCCTCTGATCAGTTTCCTGGTGTGAGCCAGAGGGTGGGGCTTTGGCTGGAGCCAGGCTGGATCACTTCAAAATTGTTTTCCTGTCTAGAGTGACTCTTTTCATTGAAACCAGTTTTCACCTTTACACAGACAGCTGGATTTTCTGACCCATACATAAACCCATCATATCAGGGTTGGAAATGCTTTGTTTCAGGGTCAGTGTTGGAGACACAGCCTCAGTAGAGATAAGACCATAAGACATAGAAGCAGAAATTAGGTCATTCAGCTCATTGAGTCTGCTCCACCATTCAATCATAGCCAATAAGTTTCTCAACACCATTCTCCTGCTTTCTCCCCACCATTCTCCTGCTTTCTCCCCATAACCCTTGATCCCCTTGACAATCAAGAACCTATCTATCTCCGTCTTAAATATACTCAATGACCTGGCCTCCACAGCCTTCTGTGGCAGTGAATTCCATAGATTCACCACTCTCTGGCTGAAGAAGTTTCTCCTTATCTCCGATCTAAAAGGTCTTCCCTTTACTCTAAGGCTGTGCCCTCAGGTCCTAGTCTCTCCTACCAATGGAAACATCTTCCCAAAATTCACTCTGTAAAGGCCTTTCAGTTTCAATTTAAGTTTCAATTAGATCCCCCCTCATCATTCTAAACTCCATCGAGTATAGACCCAGAGATCTCAAACGTTCCTCATTTGTTAAGCTTTCCATTCTTGGGACCATCCCTAAACCTCCTCTGAACCCACTGCAGGGCTAGAATTTCCTCCCTGAGATATGGGGGCCAAAACAATATGCCAAACGTGGCCTGGCCAGAGCCTGATAGAGCCTTAGAAGTACCTCCCTGTTTTTACATTTGAGTCCTCTCAAAATAAATGCCAAAGTTGCATTTGCCTTCCTAACTATTGACTCAACTGCAAGTTTATCTTGAGAGAATCTTAGACTAGAACTCCCAAGTCCTTTGCACATCCAACTTCTGAATTTTCTCCCCATTTAGAAAATAGACTATGCTCCTATTCTTCTTACTAAAGTGCATGACCTCACCCTTTACTACATTGTACTCCATCTGCCACTTCTTTGCCCACTGTCAGGGCTGTCAGCCAGCAAGCTGCGATGGAAGCTTTTATCGTAAGCGTATGATTGGGGGCTATTTCTATAAAATTCAAAACATTTCTGAAGGTTCTGCAAGGTTATTAGACAGTGATTACTTACACCCCATTACTCAGATTGGATTTATCTCCATTCCTGTGCTGAGGAGATGTCTGTATCAGACAGAGGAATAACATTTGGAGATTCTCAATTCTCTACCAATTCCCATTCCTTTTCTTCCTGGTGAATGATGGAGGGGCAACCGTGTGGAATGTACAGGTCTCTGAGAATTACCAGCAAGGATTCATCAGCACTTTCTCATTGGATTGTAGAATCTGTACCAAACTAAAATTGAGGATTGAACTCAACGTTCAGAATATTGTTGTTCCCAAATTATGGAGAAAGATCACAGACAGTGGTTCTTAAAAGGACATTGTAGTCCCAAGAATACAATAAGCGATAGATCCAGAATGTTAAAATCCTATCCAGATACTTGAATTATTAACACCAGCAGAAACAAACTCAAACTGTCAGAATGAAGGGGCCTCAGTCCTCATTATCATTCAGAGCAGAATCCATTCCCTGCAGTCACTTGTGACCTTGCTTGTGTCTGAGCAGTTGAGATGACTGAGTGAATCCCTCTCCACATTCTGAGAGATGCCACCTGTGCAGGCAAATGATTAATTAAGGATAGTCAGCATGGTTTTGTCAAGGGGAAATCAGGTCTGACTGATGGAGTTTTCGAGAACCTCACTAGATGTGTGAATCAGGTTATTGCAAATGACTACAGAGACTTCAGGATAATATAGACAGGCTGGTCAGATTAGCAAAGCAATGCCAAATGGAATTTAATCCTGAAAGATGTGAGGTGATGCATGGTCGGAGAATTAACAAAGCAAGGGAGTACAAAGTGAATGGCAGTACCCTAGGAAGTATAAAGGATCAGAGGGATATTAGTGTGCCTATCCAGAGATCTTCGAAGCCAACACGTGGGTAAGGTGGTTAAGAGTCAGAAAGGAATGGTTGCCTTTATTCGTTGAGGCATCGAAAACCAGAACAAGGAGGTTACGAGGGAGCTGTGTAAAAATGCTTGCACACTGCAGCAGTTCTTGCCGCTGCAAAACAAGAACTACGTGATGACAAGAGACAATACACAGGAGACATACTAGGATGTACACTCCTGGGATGGCGCCTTTCACATATGAAGACAAAATGGTTAGGCTGGGGTTCTTATTTGAACAGAAAAGGCCAAATTGAGTTGTTCACAAATTATAAGACACACAGATTGGGCGGAAAAGAAGAAAAATTTGCCTTTTGTAGTGAGGTCAATAACCTTAGCTTTAAGTAAAGGGCAGAAAGGCTAGAGGAGTTTTAGGTATGATTTATTTCACCTAGAAGGTGGTGGGAGTTTTGAACACGCTGCCTGCAATAGTGATCGAGTGGGAACCATCATAACATTTCAGAAGTATTTGGATGATCACTTGAAACACCATAGCGTCGGCTGCTATATCCCCCTGCCCCCACCAATCAGACTCCGTCTCTCCTGCAAAGGAGCCGGGTCCGAGTGTAGACGAAAGGGATGGTACAATTCATTACCCAGAACGAGAAATTAAATGGGAAGGGAGAGAAAATAAAGTGCTGTGCTCACAGAGGTTGGACAGAGGAGCAAGTTTCAGTCTGGGTGAAGCTCAATCTTCACTCAGAGGGAGGATCAGCAGCAGCAGCATTGCTGGGCAGGAACGAGCAGCTTCAGAAGCTAGAGACAAAAAAAAGACTGCAGATGCTGGAATCCAAGGTAGACAGACAGGTGGCTGGAAGAACACAGCAGACCTGGCAACATCTGTAGGAAAGGAACATTTCGGGTATAATTGATCAACGTACACATTCCTACCACAGGGAGCTCCGAGTGCTTGAAGGACGAGTCCTTCTGGTAGTTCGGCCTTTCCCATTGGTCATCTTACACGATTGATAGTAGGGACAGCCAATGGAATCACAGCTCTGCGCATTGACGTTCGCGCTGCACGGGAGCCCCGCCCACACGCTTTGTTTCCCCCTTCCCCTCCCATAAGCCCCTCTCCTCGAGCCGAGGTTTCCAGGGCGACCGTCCAGAGAGAGAAGCCGTTCGGTGAGCTCCCCTGCCGGTGAGCTGCCCCTGTCCCCGCCCCCGGTCCCAGCTCAGGGGCTGGAGGAGGGGGAGGACACTTCAAAGAACGAAGAAAATTACAGCACAGGAACAGGCCCTTCGGCCCTCCAAGCCTGCGCCGATCCAGATCCTCTATCTAAACCCGTTTCAGAGATAGTAGGAACTGCAGATGCTGGAGAATCTGAGATAACAAGGTGTAGAGCTCGATGAACGCAGCAGGCCAAGCAGCATCAGAGGAGCAGGAAAGCTGACGTTTCGGGCCTAGACCCTTCTTCAGAAATGGGGAAGGGGAAGGGGGTTCTGAAATAAATAGGGAGAGGCGGACAGAAGATGGATAGAGGAGAAGATAGGTGGAGAGGAGACAGACAGGTCAAAGAGGCGGCGATGGAGCCAGTAAAGGTGAGTGTAGGTGGGGAGGTAGGGAGGGGATTTTCAGGGCCGAAGAGATTACTAGAGAGTTGCAGTGGGAGAGAGATCCACTGAGGTCTTTCCAGAGGGAGGAGGGTAACTTCTTCAAGGTAGGCATCCTTAGAAGAGGCTTTGCAGTGGGGTTAAAATTGCTCCATCCCTGCCTCTTTGACCTGTCTGCCTCTCCACCTATCTTCTCCTTTATCCATCTTCTGTCCGCCTCCCTCTCTCTCCCTATTTATTTCAGAACCTCCTTCCCCTCCCCTATTTCTGAAGAAGGGTCTAGGCCCGAAACGTCAGCTTTCCTGTTCCTCTGATGCTGCTTGGCCTGCTGTGTTCATCCAGCTTTACACCTTGTTACCTCTATCTAAACCTGTCGCCTATTTTCCAAGGATCTGTATCCCTCTGCCCCCTGCCCATTCATGTATCTGTCTAGATACATCTTAAATGACGCTATCGTGCCCGCCTCTACCACCTCCGCTGGCAACGCATTCCCTCTGCGTGAAGAACTTTCCACGCATATCTCCCTTAAACTTTTCCCCTCTCACCCTGAAATTGTGACCCCTAGTAATTGAGTCCCCGACTCTGGGAAAAAGCTTCTTGCTGTCCACCCTGTCTATACCTCTCATGATTTTGTAGACCTCAATCAGGTCCCCCCTCAACCTCCATCTTTCTAATGTAAATAATCCTAATCTACTCACCCTCTCTTCATAGCTAGCGCCCTCCATACCAGGCAACATCCTGGTGAACCTCCTCTGCACCCTCCAAAGCGTCCACATCCTTTTGGTAATGTGGCGACCAGAACTGTACGCAGTATTCCAAATGTGGTCGAACCAAAGTCCTATACAACTGTAATATAACCTGCCAACTCTTGTACTCAATAGCCCGTCTGATGAATGAAAGCATGCCGTATGCCTTCTTGACCACTCTATGGACCTGCATTGCCACCTTCAGGGTACAATGGACCTGAACACCCAGATCTCTCTGTGCATCAATTTTTCCCAGGGCTTTTCCATTTACCGTATAGTTCGCTTTTGAATTGGATCTTCCAAAATGCATCACCTCGCATTTGCCTGGATTGAACTCCATCTGCCATTTCTCCACCCAACTCTCCAATCTATCTATATTCTGCCGCATTCTCCGACAGTCCCCTTCACTATCTGATACTCCACCAATCTTAGTGTCATCTGCAAACTTGCTAATCAGACCATCTATACCTTCCTCCAGATCACTTATGTATATCACAAACAACAGCGGTCCCAACACGGATCCCTGTGGAACACCACTGGTCACAATTCTCCATTTTGAGAAACTCCCTTCCACTACAACCCTCTGTCCCCTGTTGTCCAGCCAGTTCTCTATCCATCCAGCTAGTACACTCTGGACCCCATGCGACTTCACTTTCTCCATCAGCCTACCATGGGAAACCTTATCAAACGCCTTACTGAAGTCCATGTATATGACATCTACAGCCCTTCCCTCATCTATCAACTTTGTCATTTCCTCAAAGAATTCTGTCAAGTTGGTAAGACATATTTACAACAAATTCAAAAAAGTTCATACTTGAGAAAAATATTTCGATCAATACACTGGCTTACATCATAAGTGATGGTGCACTAGTCATGCGTAACATAAACTTTGTTATATTTTACAGAAGTTATACTGATTGCCACTCTTTTGTCAAATGCCATTGAATATTCCACCAACAAGCACCAGCAAAAGTTATGGACTTTTCTCATGTAATGAAAGTCATAAACTTGATTTGAGCAAAGCCTTTCAGACTTCGTGAAATTTCTTCACTTTCCTACACTCTCCGAGAGGGGATCTCATTGAAACCTGCAAATCACTTAAAGCAAGCGAGGCAGGGTGGATACAGGGAAGATTTTAGCCCCTGCTTGTACAGGGCGTGTTGGGGAAATGCCATTTAGCACCGAGATAAGGAAAACAAATAACTTTTTAAAAAACTGCAAATGCTGAAGATCTGAAACAAAAGCAGAAATTGTTGGAGAAACTTAACAGCTTCTGTAGAGAGAAAGCAGAGTTAATATTTCTGGTCCAGAAATTCTTCAGAGCGGTCTCCGAGATACCGAGAATTTGTTCACTCAGAGGAAGGTCGGGGTTTTTGAGTATATTTAAATTGGAGGTCGATAGATTTCTGGTTACCAATTATGTAATTGGTTATGGGGATAAAGTGGGTATAAGGTATTGATCTTGTAAGATCTTTTTTATTGATCTCATTTAAAAAAGTGAGACCAGTTGCGTCCTACTGTATAGTCAATGGGAATTGGCTCTAACAGATCCTCTGGGTTTCAGTGTTAGGTACAGAACATGTTGCGACACAAAATTGGCGAATTGCAGAATGACACCAAAATTGGCAGAGTTGCAGATAGTGAGGACGATTGTCAAAGGATACACTGGGATAGATCGATTGCAGATTTGGACTGAGAAATAGCAGATGGTTAGAAAAATAAAGAAGTAAAACGCTCAGAATATGAGTCTTTCCGACCCAGTCCATGCCACAACCTAGTCTCAAGGGAGACCTCCACTGCCTCACGCCACCTGTGCCAGAGTTGCCCCACTTAGGCACCATCCGCTTGGGCCCACTTCACTGACGCTGCTGAAACCACACTCGCCCTGCAACCAAGAGTCCTTGGTTCTGCTGCCAGGCCAGGCTGCCACCGGGCCACGAGTCTGGCTTCAGTTGCAGATGTTGCATTTTCAGCACTGCCATTTTGAAGAGTCCACTGTTGCCAGCACCACCGTCCCTGATTGCTGGAGGAGCTTTGCTGCTGCTGCCACCATCGGCCCCAACACTGGGAGGAGTGTGGGGAAAAGTTTTTCACAGAGGCCATGATGAGTGCCTGGAATGTATTGCCAGTGGAGGTGGTGGAAGCAGGCATGTTGGTAATGATTAAGTCATATCTTGATATCGTGAACATGAGGCGAACAGAGAGATGGATATTGCATATGGGCAATAAGTAGCGGGTCTAAGTAAGGACTAGGAATCGACGCAGGCTTGGTGAGTTGAAGGGCCTGTTCCTGTGCTGTATTGTATTGTATGTTTTAGCAGAGAATAAGAAAAACACAAATGCTGGAAAAATGAAAGGAAGGACAGGTTGGAGCAGAACAAAAGGTAGCCAGTGCAGAGGCACAGCAACCAAACCAACCTCCACATGAACAGACAATGTCAAGGGAGGAGATGGATAACAGTGAGAAACAACCAGAAAAGAAAAATACATCAGGCCCCCAAAGCCCCACAGCAAACCGAAATGAGGCAGCTGCCTAATGACTACACCAGCATCTCCTCTGATGATGAAGATGTGTGGAGTGATGGCCATCAATGAAAAAAAAACAGAGCATGACAGTGGAAAAGGAGAGAAGCATGCCCCAAGCTGGAAACTCCGGACTCCCTGCGGGGCCCAATGAAGCCCAACCTCCAGCTGGTGAGAACTGGGGGTACCCACTGCACCACAACTACGTGCAATGGGGAGCCACAACGCTCTGACAGCCCCTATGTCAGACTCAGAACTGGACCCTCATGGCTTCGTACTCGTCCCGACGACACCAGAGAAGGGCAACCCCTTCAGGGAGGAACAGGACAGCTACCTCAGCGAAGAGCGTCCAACAGTTTGTCCACACCACGTGGATGTAGGAAGTCCCACTATGACAAGACCGTGGGTGAAGGGACATTGGGTAATTCTATAGACTTTTAAAATGGGCATTAAAATTGCAAGTATTAATGTGCGCAGTGTTAGATCTACTACACAATGTTTTTCCATGTTGGCTTACCTGGGAAACCTCAAAGCAGACTTCCTGTTTTTGCAGGAGTGTGGGATACCACATCTCAGCAGCTACAGGAGATGGTCAAGCTTCATCACCAAGGTTAAGGAAGTGGTGGGCCGGCAACCCCTCATAGCAGATGTTACATACAGAAATATTCCCCTGAGATTAATTAATGTGTACGCCCTGGTGTCACAAGGTGAGCGGCTGGCCATCCTGCAGCAGCTCCCACTGCTGCTGGTGATGTCCAGGCTGGTCATTCTGGCTGGAGACTTCAACTGCATCATCAATGTCGAAAGACGATCTGGAGGGCTGACAGCAAACTGGACTCCACATCCAGATTCCTGATGGAAACAGTTAAAGTCGTCAAGCTGCACGATGTCTTTAGCACCCCTGTAGATGGAGCACAACGTACATACATCTGGTCATAGCCAGATGGGTCTATCTGCTCAAGGGTAGATTTCCTGTTTGTGCTCCACACATTCTCAGTCAGATCCGCCAATATCAAGCTGGTGTTCTTCTCTGACTACTACTTCCGCTGGCTGACAGTCACAAATACGATGAACAGCAGGCTGGCAAGGGAATGTGAAAGCTAAACATTAAATTGTTGACCCCAGTAAACACTGAGGAGTTCAAAAGAGATTACACAGGTTGGGGAACCATGAAGCCCCACTTTGAGTTTCCAGTGGATTAGTGGGAGATAGTCAAGGGGAACATCAAGAGATTCTTTATCCTCAAAGGTGTTTAGAAGGTGAGAGGGAGGCAGGAAAAACTGTCAAAACTCCAGAAAACATGCAGAACCTACTCCTGCTGCAGACAATGGGGGTCAATGTCATGGAGGATCTCCAGGAGGTTAAGAGCCAGCAAGCCTCAGAGCCTGTTTTCCTCAGAGGCCTCCAAAATAATCTTCCAGTCCAGGCTCCGCTCTGTGGAGCACGATGACATGTGCTTGTGTTCCTTCTTCCAGAAGGTGCACAAAGAGCTCTGTGCTCAGCAGCCTGAAGGAAGATAGTGGCTCGGTAATGTCATCTCAGTCTGACCTGAGGATCAGCAAATCCTTTTATGCCAGACTATCTGAAGTGAAGCCCAAAGACAGTGTGGCCTCCCAGTCGCTCCTGTCCTCTATCACAAAGGTCTGAGACGACAGCACTCGGGAGAGACTGGAGCAGTCGTTATCTCTGGAGGAGCTGACCAAGGCCCTTGAGTCCTTAGAAAAGAATAAAACTACCAGAAGCGATAGCTTACAGGCTGAGTTGTATTTGGCTCTGCAGGACTTGATTGGTCAAGACTTGCTGGAGGTGTACAACAGTATGATTCTGTCAGGTACAAATCCATGAGGAAAGATATCATCTCCCTCATCTACAAGCGGAAGGGGGACAGGGAGGAAATTGAAAATTGGCGGCCAATATCATTACTGAATGCAGACTGCAAAATCCTGTCTAAGGTCATTGTCAACTGGGTCAGGTCTGCTCTTAGATTCGTGATTCACCCCAAACAAGCCTATGCAGGAGAAGGCCTTTGACAGGATATTGCATGTGTAATGTGCTCTCTTAAATGGGTTTTGGGGAGGGAATCTGCAATAGGATCTGACTGCTCTAAACCAAAATCATTAGTGCAGTCTCAATCAACGGGTGGCAATCAGAAAACTTCCCAATCAGATCCGGAGTCAGACAGGGCTGCCCACTCTCTCCTGCCTTATTTTTGTGTTGTATAGAGCCCTTTGCTGAGTCAATCAAGAAGGATGTGAGCCTGAATGGGTGACTATTCCAGGCAGCGGAGTCCAGCAGGGCCTCCCTGTACATGGATGATATTGCAGTTTTCTGCTTGAATCCGCTGTCAGTGCACTGAGTCATGCACATCTGCGACTAATTCGAACTGACCTCGGGAGCCAAAGTAAACCGAAGCAAGAGCGAGGCTATGTTATTTGGGGACTGGGCCAACCGATCCTTCATTCCCTTCACCATCAGGACAGATTACCTGAAGGTGCTGGGAATATGGCTCAGAGGGGCTGGTGCGTGCACAAAATCTTGGGAGGAGCGTATCACCAAAATGAAGCAGAAACTGGTCCTTGAAGAGGGAACACTTCTCCCTTTCCAATGCAGGTAAAAACCTGGTCATCAGGTGTGAGGCACTCTCTCTATTGTGCCGAGTACAGGTCTGGCCATCCCCCAAAACTGTGCTGTTTCAGTCACTCGAGGGATCTTCCATTTCATCTGGAAGCCTAAGATAGACCAGGTCTGCAGGGACTTTGTGTACAAAACTCTGGATAAGGGGGAAAGCACATAACCAGTGTTGCCCTCATCCTGATGGCCACCTTTGTGTGCGGCTGCATCAAGTTGTGCGTAGACCCTCGGTATGCAAACACCAAGTGTGATGAATAATTAAGGTTCCACTTGTCTCCAGTGTTGTGAAGGATGGGATTGGCCTCACTCCCATGGAACACTCCAAGCAGTCGGACCGTCCCATATCACCTATCCTTTGTAGGGAAACTTGCAAAGAAAAACACCTTCTACCACAAGTCCATCAGGAAGTGGTCAGCACGTAGCGTCTTTAGACCCTGAGGGAAAAGGAGAGGGTGGAACCTGTTGCGTAGTTCCCTAGGGAGACCGTCAAAGTCATTTGTTAGAATGCCTTATCACCAGAAATTTCCAACAAGCATCAAGATATTGCTTGGCTGGTGATGAAAAGGGCACTGTGAAATCTTTCATGCATGCCCAGTCAGCTTGTGCCACCACACTCTGTCCTCAAAGTGGCTGCAGAGGGGTTGAGACTGATGTTCCAGAATGTGCCTTTGCAAAGGATGTCTGCAGAAAGATGTGGTTTTTGTCAGGGTTTGTCCCGAGCAGCTCCATGACTCTGTGCTCTACGGTCCGTTCCCCGGGACATGCACTGTTACAAACATTGACTGCACCTGGAGAACCATCAACTTGATGAAAGATGCTGTTTGGTTTGCCTGAACCTTGTTGCTCTTCCAGAACAAAGAGTTGACCCCAACTGAGTGTTGCACACTGGCATATTCCAAAGTCCAGGTCTATGTGTTGAGGGACACACTGAAGCTTGGGGCAGCTGCCACCAAAGGACAGTGGGGAAAGACCACTGTCTGAGATCTTTCTGCTGAAGGTAAATGGGGGTCTGTGCCTCCCAGCACCTCAAATGTATGTAAATATTAGCTTTGTGTAAGAAAGGTCTTTGGCTTTTTTGGGATAGAGTCAAAGTTCAATGTTTAGTTTGTTTGCTTGATAAGTAACCATGCAGAATTGAACTGCTTTTGTGTCAATGAACAGAAATAAAGATTTTTTTATGAATAAAATCTTTATAAATAAAGTATATTTTTGAAATAAAAGAGTTTTTCTTCTAGGATGAGGCTATCTCATTGTACTTTGGGAGTGCTGACGCCTGCGACATCCCCAAATGCAGGATATTCAACTGCAAAATTTGTGGTAGTGGGGGACTGTGTTCGTTCTCACCGCTGATTTACAAACTTAAAAGTAGAGTGTTCTTTATTTGCCCTGCAGATAGAGCTTTACAGAGCTTCCCCAGCAGTCCCATCTTTATTGATCTTTTCTCTCAGCCCACAAAAACCCCCTGCAATTATCACACTATTCACATTATGCCATACTGCATGAGTTGCTATGCGATTATACCTACCCTACATAATTCCTACACTGATCTATCTAAAATTTGTGTTTGGAGGAAGGATCAGTCAACCTGAAATGTTAATTCTGATTCCTCTCCACAGACGCTGACAGACCTGCTGAGCTTTTCCAGCAATTTCTGTTTCTATCTAAGGTGGACCATGCCCACGGGACATTATATGCAAAACTCTGGATGGAGGGGGAAGAATGTATCTAACGTTGCCCTCATCTGATGGCCACCTTTGTGTGTGGCTGCATCAAGCTGTGCTCAGACCCTGGCTATGCAAACACCAAATGCATACTGAGGTTCTACCTGTCCCTGGTGCTGTGAAGGATGGGACTGGCCTTGTTGCCGCAGAATGCTCCAAGTAGTTGGATTGTTCCATATCACCTAGTGCATGTGTATGTGAGTGAGAAAGAGAGAGAGAGTGTATGTGTGTGTGTGCTTGAGAGAGTGTGTGTGTGCACCTGTGAATGTGAGTGTGTGAGAGTGTAAAGTGTGGTGGGATCACCTGTAGTGCAATATGAATCCCAGATCCTGGTTGAGGCCGTCCTCATGGGTACCGAGTGTGGCTATCAGCCTCTGCTTGGCGACTCTGCGTTGTTACATATCCGGAAGTCCACCTTGGAGGACATTTACCCAAAGTCCACCTTGGAGGACATTTACCCGAAGATCCGAGGCCAAATGTCCTTGACCACTGCAGTGTTCCCCCACTGGGAGGGAACATCCCTGTTTGGTAATTGTTGTGTGGTGTTCATTCATCTCTTGTCGTAGCATCTGCATGGTTTCACCAAAAACCATGCCTCGGCCATCTTTGCCTTCAGCATATGAGATAGACAACTTTGGCCGAGTCACATGAGTATCTGTTATGCAGATGGTGGGTGGTGTTCCCACGTTTGATGGTAGTGTCCATGTTGAAGATCTGGCATGTCTTCTAGGATCGGCTTGTGTGGTGTTGTGGTTGATGTTGTCCTAAGGCTGTGTAGTTTGTTGTGAACAGTGGTCTGTTTAAGGTTTGGCAGTTGTTTGAAGGCGAGAAATGGAGGCGTAGGGAAGATCTCGGCGAGGTGCTCATTATCATTGATGATGTATACATACATATATACACAAATAGTTACTAAAGCAGTTTGGTTCTGTACAATAGCATATGAGGAAATCAAAACAAATATTCTTTATTGGATAGAGTCCAACTCCAAATCAAGGGCATCTCTTACTTGTGTAAGATTATATTTACATATATCTGAGGCACTGGGAGGGTCTGAAAAATTAACTTTGGCAGAAAGGCCTTACATAGTGGTCTTTCCCACTGTGCTTGGCAGCATCTACCCTAAGCTTTAGTGCATCCCTCAGCATGTAGGCCTGGAACGCACCAGTCTCCAACATTCGGTCAGGCTCAACTCCTTGTTCTGGAAGACCAACAAGTTTTGGGCAGATAAAAGAGCTTCTTTCACAGAGTTGATGGTCCTCCAGGTGTAGTGGATGTTTATCTTGGTGTGCACCCCAGGGAACAGACATAGAACATAGAACATGTCACGGAGCTGCTCGGGATGAACCTCGAAAAAAACCACTGCATCTTTCTCCAGACTTCCTTTGCAAAGGCACATTCTAGAAGGAGATGTGTGACAGTCTCATCCCCCACTGCCCCCCACCCCCGCAGCCGCTTCAAGGGCCGCGTGCAGTGGTGCAGATCAACCAGGCATACAAGGTGGATCAGACAGGTGTGCCCTTTTCACCACCAGCCAAGCAATATCTTGATACTTGTTGGAAAATTCTGGTGATGAGGCATATTCACACAGACACATACACTCTCTCTCTCCCTAGCTACCCCCCCCAAACAACCCCCCACACACACATACGCGCATGCACACGCACACGCATAAATCTATGGGCATACATTCTATTTTGTTCAAAAAGCAAACAATTTGTAGACAATGTTGCATTTTATAAATTCCTACTTTGGAAATAAAACCAGTCTGATTCCAAGTTGACACACAGCCAGATTCTAAACAAGGCCTCATACCTAAAATGCATTGTCTGACCTGGGATGTCACCTCTGGTATAATGAGAGAACGGATAAAGCCTTTAGTTATCTTGGGGCAGTGACTTGAAAGAAATTAGGGAATTTGCACAGTTAGAAAGGATTAAACAGTCATCTTAGGTTTGTTCAACACCGCATCAGTTCTATGACCCTTTGGTCTTTTGCTTATAAATTCTGTGTCAGATACTACCTTTCTCACTGACACCTGAAGGAGTGAGACTCCGAAAGCTTGTGTCATCAAATAAACCTGTTCGACTATAACCTGGTGTCGTGTGATTTCTTTTACCTTTTTGTGAATAAACTATACTTTAGAAATATTAAAAAATCCTACACTGATCTGTAATTCCCCCTGCACATACACTTCCCTGTCTGCCACTTATTTCTTTCCACAATTCCATTTCCACATATTTTGCTCTTTAACTTGTCCACTGAAATAGATTTTCCTCGCTCCAGCTTTTAGAAAAAAAGGCAGATACCATTTAGGTCTGAGATTTGGGCAAGCATTTATTGAAATAAAAGCAAAAATCTTAGTGTGTTGGAAATCTGCTACAAACAAGAAACTGGTGGAGAAACTCAGCAGATATGGCAGCATCTGTGGAGTGAGAAGCAGAGTTAATATTTCAAATCTGTTTTGACTTCTTCAAAACTGAAAGATGTCGGAAAATGGCTTTTTACTTTCTTTAGACAAGACAGAAGATAGGCTCCGGCTGGTGTAGAGGCCCGATGCAAAAAACAAAGCGGTTGTTCATGGTTGTGGAAAAGAGACATAAAATGGTTTTAAGTTAAGGTGTGAAAAGGAAAAAGTGGGTCCTCTCTTCTGAGGGTAAAGTAAACAAGACACAAGACAAGGTGTGTGTATGGATGGTGTAGGGAGGGAGACATAAGAAAAGTAGAACTGAGACACCATGCAGTCAGTTTCTGAAGATATGGAATTGAGGATTGAGACAGAGAGGCTGATAATCAGTGAGGCTGTAAATGAGGTGTTGTTCCTTGAGCTTGCATGAAGCTTCACTGGACAACTGCAGCAGGTCCAGGAATGAAATGTTCACCTGGGAACAAAGTTGTTTATTGAAATGGCAAGTAACTGGAAAGTCAGGCTCATTTCTACAGATAGAACAGAGGTAGGTGTCTGCAAAATTTGGCAGAGGCACAAAACAGGGGTGCACTAAACATTTGGTGGCTCAGCAAAATTGGTCTGGGTACACAGAAAATTGTAGGTGTTGTATAATTGGGGGCAGGTGAAGACATGGGTGCAAAATGAGGCAGTGGATAATTTGGGGGTGGCAAAATTGTCACTGCAAGAGAGAACAATATCAGCAATTACAAAACTGTAAGGATAGACACAGATTGGGGAACACAAAAACTGGGTGTGGGTGCAAAACTGGGGATGTGAAAAATCAGAGGGTGGTGCACAGAACTTGGTTAACCCTGATATGTCTCCAGAGATGCTGCGAGACCTGCTGAGCTTTTTCCAGCAATTTGTTTTTGTTTCTGATTTACAGCATTGCAGTTCTTTTGGTTTTTATCCCAAATTAGTCTAGTCCCATTTGCCAGCATTTGGTCCATATCCCTCTAAAACCTTCCTATTCATATACCCATACAGATGCCTTTTAAATGTTGTAATTTTACAAGTCTCAACCACTGCCTCTGGCAGTTCGTTCCATACACGCGCCACACTCTGTGCAAAAAAAGTTGCCCCTTAGGTCCCTCTAAAATATTTCCCCTCTCACCTTAATCCTATGCCCTTTAGTTTTGTACTCCCCTACTCTGGGGAAAATACCTTGACTTTTCACTCTATCCATGCCCATCATGATTTTATAAATTTCTACAAGGTCACCCCTCAGACTCCAATGCTCTAGGGAAAAATGCCCGAGCCTATTCAGCTTCTCCTATAGCTCAAACCCACCAACCCTTGCAACATCTCGTAAATCTTTTCTGAACTCTTTCAAGTTTCACAACATCTTCCCTATAGGAGGGAGACCAGAATTCCATAGAATCCCTACAGTTGGCCCAATGAGTCCACACTGACCCTCCAAAGAGTACCACCCAGACCCGTTCCCCTAACTTATTCTTGTAACCTTGCATTTCCCATAGCTAAGCCACCTAACCTTCACATATCTGGGCACTAAGGGCAATTTAGCTTGGCCAATCCATATAACCTGCACATCTTTGGATTGTGGGAGGAAACCCATGCAGACATGGGGAGAATGTGCAAACTCCACACAGACAGTTACCCAAGCTGGAATCGAACCCGTGTCCCTGTCGCTGTGAGGCAGCAGTGCTAAGCACTGAGTGCTACAGTATTCCAAACGTGGCCTAACCAATGCCCTGTACAGCTGCAACATGACCTCCCAACTCCTATACTCAATGCACTGATCAATAAAAGGCAAATGTACCAAACACTTCCTTCACTACCCTGTCTAGCTGTGCCTCCAATTTCAAGGAACTATGCACCTGCACTACAAGGTCTCTTTGTTCAGCAACACTCCCCAGCACCTTACCATTGAGTGTTTAAGTCCTGCCCTGATTTGCCCCAAAATGTAACACCTCACAGTTATCTAGATTAAATTCCAACTGTCACTTCTTGGCCCATCTGATCAAGGCCCCGTTAGACAACTTGCATATATTGCAATCAATATCCACCACTTTCATACAACATTCCATTTTAAAATAAACAAGTATAGACTTTTTTTTAAAAAAATTGACGTCTCTTCATGCTTTGTGGCCACCACTGTAGATTGTCCTTTATTGCAAGCAGATTTGAGTAATGTTTGCTTCAATTGTGTAGGACCTTGGAGTGCTGAGAGTAGTTTTGGTCACCTTGCCTAAGAAACTGTATATTTACTATAGTAGGAGTAAAACAAAGGTTCACCAGATTAACCACATTGGTAAGGATGCTCTGTAAAGAAAAGTTGAAGAAACTGAGCATGTAGTTCTCTCAGGGGTTTAGAAGAATGAGAAGTGGTCACAAGGAAATTTACAAAACTCTTACAAGTCTCACCAGGGAAGTTAGTGGAAGGATGTCTTTCCTGGCTGGGGTATCGAGAACCAGAATGCACAGTCTCTGATTATCTGTAATACAATCAAATGTGAAATGTGGAAGCGATGAAGCAGTGTGCTAAGATACTTTATACATTCTAATCATCTTTGGGCAAAATAATTTCTCAAACGTGAGCTAGATCTGTCAAATAGCCTGCTTTTTCTGTCATTTTTGGGAACAGGGAGACCTTTTTTATATTCAGTTGTATTCATTCGAAACGATCCAACATTAATGAGCGTAATGGCATCATAGGTAGAATTTAAGATATAAATCCACATCTATACAAAGGACAGAGGGGTTGCTGTAGCTGCAACTCAATATTCTAGAACATTCTGCAACAGAGAACCAGCTGCAGAGTCCACACATTGTTTCTGCTGTGTGTGGAACACTCCCAACAGAATTAGCATCTTAAATTCCTTCCCACAAACTGAAATGTAATGTTAGAGATAAACCAGAACCAAAATTACTGGAGTTTGCTATCAGCTGAAGGAGGTCTATTACTTTCAGTTGGATTTTCATCCCAGAAGGAGTTAAATACAGAAATATTTACAGTGATGCAGTGGTTAGCATTTCTGCCTCACAGCACCAGGGACCTGGATTCGATTCCACCCTTGGGCGACTGTCTGTGTGGAGTTTGCACATTCTCGTCGTGTCTGTGTGGGTTTTTGCCAGATGCTCTGGTTTGCTCCCACAGTCCAAGATGTGCAAGTTAGCTGGATTGGCTATGCTAAATTGCCCATAGTGTTCAGGGGTGTACGTTAGGTGCATTAGCCACAAGAAATGCAGGATTACAGGGAAAAGATAGGGAGATGGGTCTGGGTGGGATGCTCTTCAGAGGGTCAGCGTGGACTTGGTGGGCCGAACAGTCTGTTTCTACACTGTAGTGATTCTAAAGAGGTAAAGGGAGAGACACAGAGATCAAGAGAGGGGAGAAAAAAAGAGACCGAGCAAGAAAGGGGGGAAAAAGTCAGAGACAGACATATAGGAGTTAAGGAAAGAAGACACTCAGGAGGGTATACTCACGATTCCAGTGGGTCCCAGCTCTCTCTGTGGTTTCACACATTCCCTCTCTCTCCCACAAGGGACAGACCCTGCTCATTTTATTTCAATCTGGATGGTTTGGGGGTTAAAGGATCAAAATTGGCCTTGAGATTCCAACAGTACCCACTCTCTCTCACACACACACACAGATGGAAAGAAACCCTCTGTATACTCACCTCCTGCTTCATCCACATGGCAAACGAAACTATGCCTGCAAGGACTTACTTCAAATACCTTCAGGTCTGTCACTCAAACACCATTCTCTGCCAAAGTTCAATCTTATCTGGTCAGCTCCCAGCTGCCTCTACCTGGAGCACACCTCCAGGAGGCATTTTTGTGAGATTAGAGGGAGGTGGGGAAAGAGAGAGGTGGTGTGAGAGCTCAACAGTTTAGTCTGTCTTTCTCCTCCCCCACCTCACACACTGGCCCCAGACTTAAAATCTACACAGAGACAAAGCTGCAGTTTAAAACTGGCAGCAACCACAACACAGGTTCAATTCATTTAGACAACGGAACACAGGCTTCTGCAACCAACGGACACAAATTTATTTCACAAGGGAACACAGGATTTTCACACAGATTAACAGGAGATTTAAGTGGGACTGAAATGGATAAGTAAAGTCAGCAAGTTTACTTGTAATGAGTCTGAAAATTCTACAAATAAGTCAATCCATTTCACAAACAAATGATGATTACACAGATCTATTGCACAAATTAATGAGTTTATTGCAGAAATGAACTTGGGTTTATTATTCCATTCACCCCTTACCCAGTGGTCCCTTTAACTGAGCTGGAGTTCATTATCTTCAGCAAAACAGATTCTAATGGACATAATTCAATCTTCAATTAAGAGAAAAATCAAACTGCTCTAACACAGTTCCATAGCAGATGGGACTTGAAACCAGAGCTTCTGGCTGAGAGGGAGGGACACTATACAGATGACAGGACACATTGAGAGAGTAGTGAGCAAAACATATGGAACCTTGAACTTCATAAATCGAGATATCGTGGAGAAAATCAGGAAAAAGATGCTGACTTTTTAAAAGCTGCCTTTTGGACAGAACTAGAGTCCGGTTCCGCTCACCGTGTTTCAAGAGTATGAGTTTTTGACAAGTTTAGTTGAGGTAGAAAAATAAAACATTGTTTCCATTCTGTGACGGTCCATGGACTGGGGAGCTAGAGTTAAGGTTTTGGGAAACTGATGCAGTGGTGATGTGAGGCAAAGTTTCATTAAGAACAACAACAGCAACAGATGCCTGCCCTGCAGTCACGTGTGAACTCGCTGGTGTCTCAGCAGGTGGGATGACTGAGTAAATCCTTTCCCATGAGGGAGCAGGTAACAACTTCTCACCAGTGTGTGTTCGCTGGTGTTTCAGAAGGTTTTTTGAATGGACAAATCGTTTCCCACACACAGAGCAGGGGAATGGCCTCTCCCCAGTGTGAATGCATTGGTGAGTCAGCACTTCACGTCTGCGTTTATAGCTCTTCTCACACTGCGAACATTTGAAAGGTCTCTCATCAGTGTGAACCAGTTGGTGTGCCCTGAGGTTGGATATCTGAGAGAATGCCTTGCCACACTCAGAGCATGGGAATGGCTTCTCCCCAGTGTGAACTCGCTGGTGTGTCAGCAGGTAGGATGAGTCACTGAATCCCTTCCCACACTCAGGGCAGAGGAATGGTCTCTCCCGAGTGTGAACTCGCTGGTGTTTCAGCAAATGGGGTGACCGAGTGAATCCCTTCCCACACTCAGAGCAGATGAATGGCCTCTCCCCAGTGTGAACTCGTTGGTGTCTCCACAAGTTAGATGAGTCACTGAATCCCTTTCCACATTCAGGGCAGATGAACGGCCTCTCCCCAGTGTGAGTGCGTTCATGTTTCAGAAGGTCAGATGACAGAGTGAATCCCTTTCCACACTCCGAGCAGATGAATGGCCTCTCCCCAGTGTGAATTTGTTGGTGTTTCAACAGGTTGGATGAGTCACTGAATCCCTTCCCACACTCGAGGCAGGTGAATGGCCTCTCCCCAGTGTGAGTGCGTTCATGTTTCAGAAGATCAGATGACAGAGTAAATCCCTTTCCACAAATGGAGCAGATGTACGGCCTCTCCCCGGTGTGACTGCGTTGATGAGTTTCCAGCAGGGATGGGTATTTGAATCCTTTTCCACAATCCACACATTTCCAGGGTTTCTCCATGGTGCAAGTGACCTCATGTCTGTCCATATTGATTTATCAGCTGATTCCTTGTCTACACACAAGACAGGGGTACAGTTTCTCCCCACTATGAATGCTGAGATATTATTCAGGCTATGTAATTGGGTCAAGACCTGTCCACAGTCAGTTCACTGCAACACTCTCACTGAGGGAGAGTAACTGGCTACACCGCTCTCCACAGTCAGTTCACTAGAACACTTACTTGGGTCTGTGTGTCTTGGTGCATTTCCAGTCACACTGATATTTGAAATCTTTTCCCACAGACAGAACAGACAAATGTTGAAAATCCAATGGCTTTCAAGTCCTGATGAATTGACTCACTCTCAGATCTTGATGGGATGTTTGTTTGGAATTCTTGCTAATGAATATATCTCTGTGATTCTCTGTAAAACAAATTTACAACATTTAAATGTGAGTATGAGAAAGAAAACTATTTAAAACACTAAAGGAGGTTGTGAAATGGAGTTCATTGAATCCGGTAATTTGTGTGAAAGACACTCAGAAACAGTGACCATGAAAAGTTACCGGATTATCATAAAAAACTAAACTAGTTCTTCAATGTGCTTCAGGGAAGGGGACCCACTGCCTGTCCTGGCCCTGCACAAGACTCAGCCCTCAATAGGAGGAGAGACATGGAGAGCAGTGGGATGCTTATGGACACTGTTTCTTCCATCTACATCACAGGAATAACTTTGACAGATCCTCCCTCCAAGGAAGTCAAGACCAGCATATTTGGAGAACCATCGCCTATAAACTCCACTACCAGGCAGGCACTGTCCTCTTGGGAATGCATATTGCTATTTCTTTATAGCTGCTGCTCCTATAACTCCTCACTGAACAGCACTGTAGGAGAACTGTCACAACAGCACAGCAGTGAATGCTGGCCTCCTTAGCCTTGCTCAAATCCCAGTAATAAGATTAGATGTAAAGTAGATTAGCGTCATAGAGTCATACAGCATGGAAACAGAACCTTCAGTCCAAAAAGTCCATGCCAAGCATAATCCCAGACTAAATTACTCACATCTGTCCGTGCTTGGACGATATCCCTCCAAACACTTCTAATTCATGTACATATCTAAATCCCTTTTAAACATTGTAACTGTACCCGCATCCACCACTTCCTCTGGAAGTTCATTCCACCCATGAACCACTCTATGTAAAAACATTGCCCCTTATGTCTTTTAGATGTTCTCCTCTCACCTTAAAAATGTGCCCCTTAATCTTGAATCCCCCTCCCCAGGGTAATGACACCTGCCATTCACTGCTCATGATTTTATAAATCTCCATAAATTCACCTGTCAACCTCCTACGTTCCAGTGAAAGACATCCCAGCCTATCCAGCCTCTCCTTACAACTCAAACCCTCCATGCCTGGCAATGTCCCAGTAAATCTGTTCTGAACCATCTCCACCCTAGTAATATCCATTCTATAATAGGGAGACCAGAACTGGATGCAGTACTCTAGGCAAGGTGAGCCAGGCTGGTAGGCGAAGGGAATGCTCAGTGACTAGAGAAATTGAGGTTTTGGTCAAGAAAAAGAAAGAAGCATATATCAGGTATAGATAGCAGAGATCAAGTGAATCCTTAGAAGAATACAAAAGCAGTACAAGTATACTTAAGAGGGAAATCAGGAGGGCCAAAAGGGGACATGAGATAGCTTTGGAAAATAGGGTTAAAAGAATCCAAAGGGATTTTATGAATACACTGGGGACAAAAGAGTAACTAGCGAGAGAATACGGCCCCTTAAAGATCAACAGGGCCGCCTGTGTGTGGAACAGGAGATAGGGGAGGTACTAAATGAGTATTTTGCAATGTTTACAGTGGAGAAGAATATGGAAGACATAGAAGGTGAGGAAATAGATAGCAAAATCTTAAAAAATTATGGAGGTGGTGATGCTGGATGTCTTAAAATGCACAAAGGTGGATAAATCCTCAGGACCTGATCAGGTGTACCCTAGAACTCTGTGGGAAGCTAGGGAAGTGATTGCTGGGTCCCTTCCTGAGATATTTGTATCATCGATAGCCACAGTTGACATGCCAGTAGACTGGAGGCTGGCTAATGTGGTGCCACTATTTAAGAAAGCTGGTAAGGAAAAGCCAGAGAACTATAGACTGATGAGCCTGACATGGGTGGTGGAGAAATTGCTGAAGGGAATCCTGAGGGACAGAATTTACACGTATTTGGAAAGGCAAGGACTGATTAGGGATAATCAACATGGCTTTGTGCATGGGAAGTCATGTCTCTCTGACTTGATTGAGTTTTTTAAAGTAGTAACATAGAGGATTGATGAGGGCAGAGCTGTGGACATGATCTAAATGGACTTCAGCAAGGCATTCAACAAGGTTCCTCATGGTAGACTGGTTAGGAAGTTTAGATCACATGGAATACAGGGAGAACTAGCCATTTGGATACAGAATTGGCTTGAACATAGGAGACAGAGAGTGGTGGTGGAGGGTTGCTTTTCAGACTGGACGCCTGTGACCAGCAGTGTGCCCCAAGGCTCGATGCTGGATCCACTGATTTTCGTCATTTATATAAGTGATTTGGATGTGAATATAGGAGGTATGATTAGTAAGTTTACAGATGACATCAAAATTAGAGGTGTAGTGGTGGACAGCCAAGAAGGTTACCTCAGAGTACAACAGGATCTTGATCAGATGGGCCAATGGGCTGAGGAGTGGCAGATGAAGTTTCATTTAGATGAATATGAGGTGCTGCATTTTGGAAAGGCAAATCAGGGCAGGACTTATACACTTAATGGTAAGGTCCTGAGGAGTGTTGCTGAACAAAGAGACCTTGAAGTGCAGGTTTTAAGTTTCTTGAAAGTGAAGTCACAGGTAGTTAGGATAACGAAGAAGGCATTTGGTACACTTGCCTTTATTGGTCAGTGCATTGAATACAGGAGTTGGGAGGTCACGTTGCGGCTGTGGTTAGGCCACTTTTGGAGTACTCTGACTTACTGGTCTCCCTGCTATAGGAAGTATATTGTGAAACTTGAAAGGGTTCAAAAAGATTTACAAGGCTGTTGGCAGGGTTGGAGGGTTTGAGCTATAGGGAGAGGCTGAATAGGCTGGGTTTTTTTTCCCTGGAGGTTCAAAGGCTGAGGGGTGACCTTATAGAGGTTTACAAAATCATAAGGTGCATGGATAGGGTAAATAGACAAGGTATTTTCTCTGTGGTGGTGGAGTCAAAAACTAGAGGGGCATAGGTTTAAGGTGAGAGGGGAAAGATTTAAAAGGGACCTAAGTGGCAACATTTTCATGCAGAAGGTGATGTGTGTTTGGAACAAGCTGCCAGAGGAAGTCATGGAGGCTGGTACAATTACAACATTTACAAGGCATCTGGATGGGTACAGGGGGTTCTGCTGTAATGCGATAGATGCATTCTTGTGAAATGACACGTTATAGAAAATCGCACTATAGAAATAACGGGGCCTATGGGAAAATGGGGGTTTGGGCAGAGCAACAAAAACAAAAAGATTCACTCAAAATGACTGAAAAATCATTCAAAAGTGCAATACAAAGGATAGCATAGTTTGAACAAATGTCTAATTCACATGTAGTCATGAAGTAACAGTAAATTTATCACCTTATCTTGAAAAAATTATCAAGACGACTTCATGGGGGAGGATGTTCTGAGAGAGCTCTGTCGTTAATGCAGGGGCTGAGGGGTGTCATCGTCGTCATCATCATCACCGTCACCTTCAGGTGCAGTTTTGTTTGCAGGGTTAAGGCAAAAAATAGTTAATCCAGAAGTGGATTTTTTTTTTCCTTTATTCACTCACAGGATGAGGGTGTTGCTAGCTAGGCAGCCTTTATTGCCCATTCCTAATTGCCCTGACGGCTGTTAACAGTCAACCACTTTGCTGTGGGTCTGGAGTCATATGTAGGCCAGACCAGGTAAGGAGGACAGTTTCCTTCCCTGAAGGACATTCGCGAATCAGATGGGTTTTTCCAACAATCAGCAACGGAGTCACAGTCATCATTGGATTCTTAATTCCAGATATTTATTGAATTCAAATTCCACCATCTACCATGGTGGGTTTCGAACCCTGGTCCCCAGAATGTTATCTGGGTCTTTGGATTAACAGTCCAGCAATAATCTGGACTTCTTCAGATAAAAGGGTCCCGAACCGAAACGTCAATTTTCCTGCTCCTCTGATGCTGCCTAGCCTGCCATGTTCCTCCAGCTCCACACTGTGTTGTCTCGATTAGATTCCAGTCTGTAACTCTCTCCTGGGTATCTGTTCAATCTCCTCAATTAGATTCCAGACTATAACTCACAGGTATCTGTTACTCACTCAGATCCCTTGATTAGATTCCAGTCAGTAATTCATTCTCAGGTAACTGTTATTCTAGATGTAAGAGTGGTCATGAATGTGCGTGAGTTTGTAAGTGTAAGTGTGTGTGAGAGCGAGCAAGAGTGTGTGACAGCACGTGAAAGTATCAGTGTATGTGCAAGTGTATATGGGTTTGTAACTGCATGGGTGTGTAAGAGTGAGCATGGGTGTGTCTGCGTGAATGTACGCATCTGGGTGTGCAAGTGAGTAAGTGAATGAGTGTGTACATGCATATGCGTGAGAGCGCACGTGTGAAAGAGAGCACAGCTGAGTGTGTGACAGTGAATATTTAGGTGAGTGTGAATCTCTGAATATGTATGATATCAGAGGAGTGTGTGATTGCGTGTGCATGTGACAGCATGTCTGCACAAATGTGTCTGCGAGCATAAGTAACACAGTGTGTACAAGGGTGTCTCATTAGTGGTTGTCAGTGTGTGAATGAGAGCGCATGTTTGCATTTGGGTGTGTGTATGTGTGAGACTGCGTGAAAGTGAATGAGTGTCAGTGAATGTGGTTGAATGAGAGTGATTCTGAGAGTGCACACACGAGAGAGTAAGGGAGTATGAGAGATTGTAACAGTAACAGTGTGGTGAGAATGAGTGTGAGAGATGAGTGTATGAAGTGTGAGAGTGAGTGTCTATGTCTGAATAAGTGTGAGAGGGTGTGAGTGTGCATGTGTATTAGTGTGAGGTGAATGTGAGATGAGTGGGTGTGAGTGTGTATGTGTACATGTTAGATTGCTCGTGTGATTGTATAGGTGTGTATGTAAGTGAGAATGTGCATGAGTACGTCAAAGTGACAGAGTGTTTGCTTGCTTGCAGTAGTGCATTGGTGTGTGTTAGTGTGTGATTGCTTAAGTGAGTGTGAGAGTTTGTGTAAGTACGAGCATGACACTCAGATTTTGATTTGATGTTCAATTTTCCCTTCTCTTTCTGAAAATCCTCCTCTAATAAAAGCCACCACTGAACAGAGCTGTGATTGGATATAGGACGCTGGACGCGAGACAAGGTCATGGGATCAGGAGAACGTAACCTGCCTCTCTTTCTTGCCTTCTCTACCACCGCTCTGCTTCAGCAATAAGACACTGGGTCTCAAAGACTAATGCAGCTTCATGGACAAGATGTGGTCTTTCTGAATCTACTCTTTGGAATCTGTCATTGGAACAATTGCTCTCTAAAAACATGGCAGCCGCGCATGCGCCCCGCTGTTATTAAAAATGGCGGCCATTAACTGGGGCCTAACACTGGAAACTGCGGCCTCACTCTATGCAAACAACAAGACCAGAAAAAAATCTATTTCAGGCTCTGGGACTTACACAAAATGTTTACGAAGCCTCCCATTCATCAACCGGATCTATCGCTCCCTCGGTGTCGCCTCATTCTCACCATTTGCGGATCTGAGAAAGAAACCCCTCCGCCCGTCGCCCGAACGGTCTCTGCGCATGCTCCATACACAGCAGGACACTGCACCTGCGCAATTGCGCTCCTGTTTGGGGATTTACCCCACAGCTGAGCATGCTGGAAAACAGTCATTGAATTCTCAAAGTCTCGTATCCTGATTTATTTTGCTGCAGTAGGATACACGCCTGAAAGGCTAAATAATAAAACTGATATGCCTACCAAACAGACTCCCGCCATCTATGGCAAGGCCTAAACGACATTACGGGATACAAAATGAAACAGTGTAAGATAGTGGACAATGACACATCCCTCCCTGACATACTAAATGCTTTCTATGCTTGGTTTCAGCAGAATGCCACCGGTGTGGCAACACCTTCCCCGACAGCCCCAGACTCACTGTTCCCTCTGTCACCGCTTCATAAGTCAGATCAGCCTTCCTGAGAGTCAAAACGAGGAAAATGACAGGCCTGGATGGTGTCCCCAGCTGAGCACTCAGATTCTATGTGGACCAACTGGCGGAGGTATTCACCAAAAACTTCAGCTTCTCCCTCCTACAAGCCAAAGTACCCACCTGCTTCAAGAAGACCACCATCATCTCCGTACCCAAGAAAACACATCCAGTATGCCTTAATGACTACTGCCCAGTGACTCCGACTTCAATAATCATGAAGTGCTTCGAGAGGCTGGTCATGGCTCACATCAACTCCAGTCTCCCAACCTGCCTCAACCCCCTCAGTTTGCCTACTGACATAACAGGTCCACAGAGGACGCCATAACCCTAGCCCTACACTCATCCCTGGAACATCTGAACATCCGTCTTCCACACCATTATCCCCTCCAGACTGATCTCAAAACTGCATGACCTTGGTCTCAGCTCCACCGTCTGCAACTGGATCCTCAGCTTTCTGACCCATAGGCCGCAATCAGTGAGGATAGGTAACTGCACCTCCTTCACAATAACACTCAACAGTGGAGTCTCCCAGGGATGTGTCCTCAGCCCCCTTCTATGTTCCCTGTACACCTACGACTGTGTTGCCAAATTCCGAACGAACGCCATCTACAAGTTTGCTGATGACACCACTGTAGTAGGATGGATATCTAACAACGAAGGGTCAAAATACAGAAGGGAGATAGAGGGCTTAGTGACATGGTGCAGTGAAAACAATCTGTCTCTCAACATCGGCAAAACTGAAGAACTGATCATTGACTTCAGAAAGAAAGGAGGAGAACATGCCCCCATCTACATCAATGGAACTGAGGTTGAAAGAGAGAAGAACATCAAGGACTTCCAATGTAAATGCAACAGAGGCACAACAGAACCTCTTCTTTCTCAGGCAGCTCAGGAAATTTGGCATGTCCATAAGGTCCCTCACTAACTTCTACAGATGCACCATTGAAAGCATACTGTCCAGGTGCCTAATGGCCTGGTATGTCAACTGCTCTGCCCAGGACCGTAAGAAACTACAAAAGGTGGTGTGCACAGCCCAGACCATCACGGAAGCCAACCTTCCATCCATGGACTCTATTTACATGGCTCGCTGCTGCTGAAAGGCGGCCAACATCATTGATGACCACCGCACCCCGGTAATGATCTCCTACAACCTCGTCCTTCAGGCAGAAGATATAGAAGCCTGAACACACGCACAAGCAGGTTCAGGAACAGCTTCTTTCCAGCCATTATCAGACTGTTGAATGGACTCTAGCCTCAAATAATGTAACCTGCAATGTAACCTGTATGCCTCTAAGTTTTTTTGATCTGTACATCATTTGCTTGGTGTGATCTGCCTGTACCATTCGTAAACAAAGCTTTTCACTGTATTTTGGCACACGTGACAATAAAACAAAATCAATCAATCAAATTTTATTGAAAGCCATCGCCTTAATGACAATCACATCAGAGGAGCCAGGCACACCTTCTTTGTACTGAAAACACGAATAATAATTATATACAAATGTAGCAGCATCCTGGGGATTAGCATTGACCAGAAACTGCCTGGACCAACCATATGTATGCTGTGGCTGCAAAAATAGGTCAGAAGCTCAGATTTTTGGTGGAAATAAATCTCTTCCTGTCTCCCCAATGCCTATTCATAATCATCAAGGCAGGCATATGATCAAATATTCTCCACTCATCCCGATAAGTGCAGCTCCAACAACACTAAAGAAGCTTGACACCATCTAAGACAAAATGTGATTGCCAATCCATCCACTCCCTTCAGCAATTGTTCCCTTCACCATTAATGCACAGTAGCAGCGCAGTGTACGCTGCACAAGAAGTCATGGAATAACTCACCAAGGCTCCTCCAACATACCTAAACCTATAACCGCTACCAGCTAGAAAAGAAGTGCAGCAGTTTCATGATAACATCACCACCTACAAGTCTCCCTCCAAGCCACACACCACTTTGACTTGGAACGATATCACTCACCATTCACTGACATCCCGGTCAACATCCTGGAACTTTCTTTCTCACAGCACCAAACCTAGTCATTCGAAACACCCTTCTAAATCTGTTCACACAGATTATCGGATTCATTCAGCTTAATTTTACAATTTGCCTTTGTGTTTTCATGAATTGTCTCTCACTTTTTTCTGCTTTAGATCAATTTTACAGCCTAAGAAATGGTGAGAATTTGCAGTTGTGAAACTGAAGACATCAGGATCTGATGGAGTGTCCAATTCGTTGTCATTAGAATAACATAGCATAGCATTTGAAAACTGCAAGGCAGCAGCCAGTTCACATATGTCAATACACAGGAGAACCTCTGGAAATTTGGGCACTATGAATAGGAATTTCATTACTCATCAAAGCTGGAAATGCATTAATGCATTCACACTATGAACAGGTCATTCAGCTGTTGAGTGTGGGAAGCAATTCACTCAGTTATCCATCCTGCTGACCCACCAGAAAATTCAACCTGGGGATATCTCATTCACCTGTTGAGTATAGGGGATTTACTTGTTGTCCCACCTGCAGACACGCAAACAAGTTGACAATGGGGAGATGCTGTTCACCTACTCTGAGTGTATGGAGGAGTTCAGTCTGTCAGATAAACTACTGAGACACCAGAGAGTTTAACTGGTAAAAGACCTTTTAAATGCCAAGACTATGCAGGGCCCCAGTGCTATGCAGGCTCTGGGGCCCTGATGTCCCATCAATGCATTCTCATTGATGAGAAACGTCGATGCGTTCTCAGTGCAGAAGTGTGTTCAGGTGATCATCGCAACTCACTGTACACTGGTGCACTCACAATAGAAAGAGGCAGTTCACTTTCTCCATGCATGGGAACAGATTAATTCAGTCATTCACCCTCTTGAAACATCACTAAGATCATACTAGGGAGAGACCTCTGATATGCCTAGAACGTGGCAAGTGCTTTATAGGTTCCAGGGAACTAATGTCCCATCAACAAGTGGAGGCTTGGGGACCGCTTTGCAGAACAGCTGTGCTCGGTTCGCACTAAACAACTGCACCTCCCAGTCGCGAACCATTTCAACTCCCCCTCCCATTCCTCAGATGACATGTCCATCCTGGGCCTCCTGCAGTGCCACAACGATGCTACCCGAAGGTTGCAGGAACAGCACCTCATATTCCACTTGGGAAACCTGCAGCCCAATGGTATCAATGTGGACTTCACAAGCTTCAAAATCTCCCCTTCCCCTACCGCATCCCAAAACCAGCCCAGCTCGTCCCCGCCTCCCTAACCTGTCCTTCCTCCCACCTATCCCCTCCTCCCACCTCAAGCCGCACCCCCATCTCCTATCTACTAACCTCATCCCGCCAACCTGTTCATCCTCCCTGGACTGACCTATCCCCTCCCTAACTCCCCACCTACACTCTCCTTTACTGGCTCCATCCCCACCTCTTTGACCTGTCTGTCTCCTCTCCACCTATCTTCTCCTCTATCCATCTTCTAACTGCCTCCCCCTCTCTACCTATTTATTTCAGAACCCCCTTCCCCTCCCCCACTTCTGAAGAAGGGTCTAGGCCTGAAACGTCAGCCTTTCTGCTCCTCTGATGCTGATGGGCCTGCTGTGTTCATCCAGCTCTACAACTTGGACCTAAATGTATATGTGAATACGTTATTAAAGATGGCAGAATAGGTAGTCAGAGCCATTAATGAAATTTGAAGTATCCTAGGCTTTATTACTAGGGGCATAGGTTAGAAGAAATTATGCTCAGCTTGGGTAAGGCACTAGTTAGACCTCAGTTTGAATATTGTGTACAGTTCTGGGTGTCACACATCAGCAAGAATAGGAACTGATTGGAAGAGTGCAGAAGAGGTTTACAGGAATGGTTCCAGGGATGAGGAATTTGTTATAGTGCAAAGAAATTTGGACAATTTTCATGACAAGAGAATGCTGAAAGATGATTTGATTGAAGTTTTCAAAATCATGAGTGGTCTAGATGCAGGATATAGGGAGAAACTGTTTCTGTTTATAAATGGATTGAGAACCAAAGGGCATAACTTGAAAGTGAAATTCAAAAGAAGCAAATACAAGGTGAGGGAAACCTTTCTCACTGTGAATAGTTAGGATCTGGAATGCACTTCCTGGAAGTGTGATATCAGCATCTTTTAGTGAGACATTCAAGTCAGGATCAGATAATTATGTGAACAGAAACAATTTGCAGGGCTAAGTGGAAAGACAAGAGAATGATACCGGTCACGTTGCTCATTTGGAGAGCCAGTGCAGATACAATGGGGAGACTGGCCTCCTTCTGCATCACAATTCTATGATTCTGTTTTGATCTTTCCATCCATTCTGCTGCC